CGATTGCCCTTCTTGATGATCATAGCATACTTACAAGTGTTATCCCAGTTAGAGAAGATGACAAAATTAAAGTCAAGTCAGATGATTTTAATTTACTTTGCATGAGTTGTTGTGTTTATAGTTTCTTTTTTCTCAAGTTTCCATTTCATCTTGAGCTCTATTATTGAATTGCTAGTTCAATTAACATTCTCGATATTGTGCTTGAATAAACTCGTGAAGTAATCAAGAATATATTACTTTTTGTGGTCCCTTTACAATGCCGGGCACTTCAACTTTCTCGAACAATTTGAAAGCACTGTTTGTCACCCAACTTACAGCACTGTTTTATTTAGTCATCAATTCTTTTTTAAGTTTATCATTGAACTTTCATTTTGATTGGCGAATAGATAGAAGGCATAGTCTAGAGGGTTTGGGAATTGTGCCAGAACTGAGGATAACTTTATAAGAAGTTGAGAATAATTTCTTTTGGAATAAACCAGTTCTATGGACAACAATGTGAAGCACATTGTTGGCCCTCCAAGAAATTAAGAATAATTTCTTTTGGAATACACCAGTTCTGTGGACAACATTGAGTGAAGTACATTGTTTAGGGTTTAGGGTTTAGGGTTTAGGGTTGTTTGTCACCCAACTTACAGCACTGTTTTATTTAGTCATCAATTCTTTTTTAAGTTTATCATTGAACTTTCATTTTGATTGGCGAATAGATAGAAGGCATAGTCTAGAGGGTTTGGGAATTGTGCCAGAACTGAGGATAACTTTATAAGAAGTTGAGAATAATTTCTTTTGGAATAAACCAGTTCTATGGACAACAATGTGAAGCACATTGTTGGCCCTCCAAGAAGTTGAGAATAATTTCTTTTGGAATACACCAGTTCTGTGGACAACATTGAGTGAAGTACATTGTTCGCCCCCAAGAAGATAAGAATAATTACTTTGGAATACACCTGTTCTGTGGACGGCAAACAAAAATAATACACTAGTTCTGTGGACAGCATTGAGTGAAGCACATTGTTGGCCCTCCAAGAAGTTAAGAATAATTTCTTTGGAATGCACCAGTTCTGTGGATGGCAAAGAAGAATAAAACACCAGTTTTGTGGACAACAATGTGAAGCACATTGTTAGCCCTCCAAGAAATTAAGAATAATTCCTTTGGAATACACCAATTCTGTAGACAACAAAGAATAATAATACACCAGTTCTGTGGACCACATCTGAAGCACATTGTTGGCCATCCAAAAAGTTGAGAGTAATTTCTTTTAGAAAACACTAGCTCTGTGGACAGCAAAGAAGAGTAAAGAAAAGGAAAGAAGACAAAAATTAAAAGTAAATAAATAAAAAATGTACCTTAAGCATAGAGTAATTCTATATTATGCATCTATAAAGATTGATTACCCTTCTTGATGATCATAGCATACTTACAAGTGTTATCCCAGTGAGAGAAGATGACAAAATTAAAGTCAAGTAAGAAGATTTTAATTTACTTTGCATGATTTGGTGTGTTTATAGTTTTATTTTTTTCTCAATTTTCCTTTTCATCTCGAGCTCTATTATTGAATTTCTAGTTCAATTAACATTCTCGATATTGTGCTTGAATAAACTCGTGAAGTAATCAAGAATATATTACTTTTTGTGGTCCCTTTACAATGCCGGGCACTTCAACTTTCTCGAACAATTTGAAAGCACTGTTTGTCACCCAACTTACAGCACTGTTTCATTTAGTCATCAATTCTTTTTTATGTTTTTTGTTGAACTTTCATTTTGATTGGCGAATAGATAGAAGGCATAGTCTAGAGGGTTTGGGAATTGTGCCAGAACTGAGGATAACTTTATAAGAAGTTGAGAATAATTTCTTTTGGAATAAACCAGTTCTATGGACAACAATGTGAAGCACATTGTTGGCCCTCCAAGAAATTAAGAATAATTTCTTTTGGAATACACCAGTTCTGTGGACAACATTGAGTGAAGTACATTGTTTAGGGTTTAGGGTTTAGGGTTTAGGGTTGTTTGTCACCCAACTTACAGCACTGTTTTATTTAGTCATCAATTCTTTTTTAAGTTTATCATTGAACTTTCATTTTGATTGGCGAATAGATAGAAGGCATAGTCTAGAGGGTTTGGGAATTGTGCCAGAACTGAGGATAACTTTATAAGAAGTTGAGAATAATTTCTTTTGGAATAAACCAGTTCTATGGACAACAATGTGAAGCACATTGTTGGCCCTCCAAGAAGTTGAGAATAATTTCTTTTGGAATACACCAGTTCTGTGGACAACATTGAGTGAAGTACATTGTTCGCCCCCAAGAAGATAAGAATAATTACTTTGGAATACACCTGTTCTGTGGACGGCAAACAAAAATAATACACTAGTTCTGTGGACAGCATTGAGTGAAGCACATTGTTGGCCCTCCAAGAAGTTAAGAATAATTTCTTTGGAATGCACCAGTTCTGTGGATGGCAAAGAAGAATAAAACACCAGTTTTGTGGACAACAATGTGAAGCACATTGTTAGCCCTCCAAGAAATTAAGAATAATTCCTTTGGAATACACCAATTCTGTAGACAACAAAGAATAATAATACACCAGTTCTGTGGACCACATCTGAAGCACATTGTTGGCCATCCAAAAAGTTGAGAGTAATTTCTTTTAGAAAACACTAGCTCTGTGGACAGCAAAGAAGAGTAAAGAAAAGGAAAGAAGACAAAAATTAAAAGTAAATAAATAAAAAATGTACCTTAAGCATAGAGTAATTCTATATTATGCATCTATAAAGATTGATTACCCTTCTTGATGATCATAGCATACTTACAAGTGTTATCCCAGTGAGAGAAGATGACAAAATTAAAGTCAAGTAAGAAGATTTTAATTTACTTTGCATGATTTGGTGTGTTTATAGTTTTATTTTTTTCTCAATTTTCCTTTTCATCTCGAGCTCTATTATTGAATTTCTAGTTCAATTAACATTCTCGATATTGTGCTTTGAATAAAACTCGTGAAGTAATCAAGAATATATTACTTTTTGTGGTCCCTTTACAATGCTGGGCACTTCAACTTTGAACAATTTGAAAGCACTGTTTGTCACCCAACTTACAGCACTGTTTCATTTAGTCATCAATTCTTTTTTATGTTTTTTGTTGAACTTTCATTTTGATTGGCGAATAGATAGAAGGCATAATCTAGCGGGTCTGGGAATTGTGCTGGAGAAGCTAACTAGGGATAACTTTATAAGAAGTTGAGAATAATTTCTTTTGGAATACACCAGTTCTGTGGACAACAATGTAAAGCACATTGTTGCCCTTCAAGAAGTTGAGAATAATTTCTTTTGGAATACACCAGATCTGTGGACAGGAAAGAAGAATAATACTGTGGACCAGTTTTGTGGACAACATTGAGTGAAGCACATTGTTGGCCCTCCAAGAAGTTAAGAATAATTTCTTTGGAATACACCAGATCTGTGGACAGCAAAGAAGAATAATACACCAGTTCTGTGGACAACAATGTGAAGCACATTGTTGGCCCTCCAAGAAGTTAAGAATAATTTCTTTGGAATACACCAGTTCTATGGACAGTAAAGAAGAATAATACACCAATTCTGTGGACAACAATGTGAAGCACATTGTTGGCCTCCCAAGAAGTTGAGAGTACTTTCTTTGGGAATACACTTGGACAGCAAAGAAGAATAAAGAAAAGGAAAGAAGACAAAAAGCAAAAGTAAATAAATAAAAAATAGACTGATTGCACTTCTTGATGATCATAGCATACTTACAAGTGTTATCCCAGTGAGAGAAGATGACAAAATTAAAGTCAAGTAAGATGATTTTAATTTACTTTGCATGATTTGGTGTCTTTATAGTTTTTTTTCTCAATTTTCCTTTTCATCTCGAGCTCTATTATTGAATTTAACTCAATTAACATTATCGATATTGTGCTTTGAATAAACTCGTGAAGTAATCAAGAGCATATTACTTTTTATGGTCCCTTTACAATGCCGGGCACTACAACTTTCTTAAACAATTTGAAAGCACTGTTTGTAAGCCAACTTACAGCACTGATTCATTTAGTCATCAATTCTTTTTTAAGTTTATCACTAAACTTTCATTTTGATTGGCGAACAGATAGAAGGCATAAAATCTAGCGGGTCTAGGAATTGTGCCGGAGAAGCTAACTGAGGATAACTTTATAAGTTGGAAAAATTGCTTGACAAATTATTTGGTTGGGAATGGGCTTTGGGATGTTGTCTCTGCTTAGGAGATTGAACCATATAAGACTAATAAACAAGAGCATGAAAAATGGAAGAAAACGAATGCTTTGGCTTTGCATGCAATTCAACTTTCATGTAGACAAGCAACATATTCAAAGTTTAAAAATGCCGCCATTAATGCTGACTACGTATGGACTCAGTTGGCAGAAAAAGGAGATCACAACAAAGAAAGTCGAGTCGAAGATAATGGTAATTCCTCAATCTTTGTGATGAACTAGGCTGTCTAAAATTTTATCGTGTTATAAGAAATGTGAAATTGCACTATAGGTTCTCAATCATTAAAAATGAGCAAAGAACAATGTGGTGGAGCAAATTTTCCCTCTTATTTAGTGAACTTTGTATTTGACACAACTCCCTCACATTCAGGCTAACTTCATTATTTGTAGGGCTGAGTGCGTACCTTGACTACGAGCCCTTATACGAGGCAATTGAAAAAGGTAATTGGCATGATATAGAAGGTTTCTTTTAGGAAAAGACACTGCCATTTACCGAAAGTGTTTCATCACGCAAAGAGATAGCTCTGCACATGGCAACTTTATCTTGACAGACTGAAATTGCAAAAAAACTTGTAAAATTGATGGGCCCAAAAGAGTTAGAACTAAAAAAATGAACATGGAGCTACGGTCTTATCTTTTGCTGCAATCTGTAGTGCACGGAACTGGCCAAGGAAATGGTAAGCAAGAACAAAGAATTAGTTACAATAGAAATTGCAGGCCAAGAATAAAGGCAACTTCCTGTGATGATGGCTGCATTGTATAGACAGAAGGGAATGGTTCATTATTTATACAATAAGACGCCAAAAGATGTGTCCAGTCCCGAAAAGGGTGCAAATGGAGTCACACTACTTAATTACCTTATTACTGTTGAAATTTATGGTAAGTGAATGCATAATGTGGAGTCTAATCTTGCTCTATGAGGATAAAGTCCCTTGGGATATTGCCATGGAACTGTGCCTGGGGTGAGATGGCATATCGAGATTGGCAATGTTAAAATATTTTTTTGTCTAACTGCCAATCACAGTTTACCTAGAATGAATTCAAAATTCCATGGCAATGTAGCATGATCGGCTCTCTGTTAATTTCGTCAATTGTAGATAAACATAATAGTAATGCGTATACACAGGATTTTCAATTTTGTTGGTAGTAATTTTGTTTCACTACGTGCTTGTCCAATTAAGTGTGAAACACTGAAAATTTCTGTTTGGATACAACTTATAATATTCTTAATAAACCTAGTTAAAGTCAAGCATTAATTTGAATCACACATTCATAATTCCTATTCATCACTATAAAAAATTTAGTGGGTCTCAGTACTAGTCCTCTTTATAAATTGATTTATAAGTTTGTCAAATGGAGGCTATCTATTTTCTGATTTTGTTTTAGTAGAAGTTGCAATCACAATCGAGATTTGGGCTTAATTTTCTAGACACGTATACCTAATTCTGGCTATTTTCTTATTGTAGATGTTGTTTTGTTGCTATTGGAAAAGTATCCACAGCTGGGTGTTATCCCAGATGTTAATGACAATTACGCTATCAAATTGTTTGCTCAAAGGCCTTCTGCATTTCTTAGTGGGACTGAACTTTCATTTTGGGAAAAATTGATCTACTTTTGTAAGTATGTAATTGGTCACCTATTAATTTCATTCACAAACAATGTACCACAAGGGTACATTTAGATAAATTTTAGGGGCTGTTCGATAGCCCTTTATTTTCTAGGAAAAATGGAAAATGAATTCTAATTTTCACTTTTGGCCTGTTTGATTGACAAAATTTTTCGAGAAAATCGTTTTCAACTTTTGGCTGCTACGTCAGCATTTTTCATCTTTTTCTTGAATTCGAATTCTCATCATATTGGTGAAAATTCATTTTCTGGGTTACTGTAGCGATTTCTTTTTCATTTATTTATTATTATTATTTTCTTTTGCAATGGAAACAAATTCTAAGAATTATTGTAAAAAATTCTATCCCTTTAATTGACAATTTTCATGTAAAATAAAGCCAAACGAACACCAAAAGATAGATGATTTTCTTATTATTTTTATTATTATTTTTTTGGTAATAGAAACAAATTTCATCCTCAATACCAATAAATTCTACCCTTTAATTGACAATTTTCATGTAAAACAAAGCCAAACGAACACAAAAAACAATTTTGTTTCAACATTTTCCACGTGAAAAATTATACCAATCAAACACAATAATTTATAATTTCTAGGAAAACAATTTCTTGGCAATTCAATTCCCTGGAATTCGTTTTCTTTCCACCCAAATTTCATCTTTGCAATCAAACGGACCCTTAGTTTCTTATTCGTACTATCTAATACAATATACAAATGTGCCATAAACTCACTTGTTGAACATAATCGTTTTGAAAAGTATTCATTGTCTGAACATTTTACACAAGGTGTAAGAGCATGTAGAAATGCAAACATCAAGTACTAGTCATGATCACAACATTCAAATTCCTGAATCAAACGACAAAGATTTGGGAGGAAGGATGGCACATGGTGGCCTAACTATAACTACTCGAGGTACATCAGATTACGTCACACTCCTCCCTTTTTTTTCAAGCTTTCTTCACACATCCTAAATTTAGTTTAGAGGTATAAATTAGGCAAGTATGACTCTTGAACCTTCACTTGCTCAGCTCAGCCAGTGCATCCCATGCCTAAGCCTTTTTAAATTTATTTTGAACATGTGGACCCATGTGTTAACTATAGATTTGGACTGACTGCACCATATCCTAGTCCTGCTGTACTTTCATGTGTCAAGTGGCCCTAGGTTTTGATAACCCACTACATTTTGACATCTCTAAAGAAATTCTTGTTGTGCAGCTCTAGAGTTGGTGCACAAATTGGGTTGGGGAATATTGCGATCCATTGGTATGTATTATCTTCCTATATATATATAGTTTCTGCTACACATATGTACTGAAAATCAATTACGCGTGAAACATTATTTAACATTAGTTTTATTAATTTTTCAGTTCCAAAGATCCATTACATATATCGAAGGAAGTCAGTCCATGTCCAAGTTAGGAAATTCTTGAAGGTCGTGTTCAAAAAAAGTGCCACAACTGAGCAAACCAGAGCTCAAAAAAATGGACTTGGATAAAATAATAAATGATGCCATAGGGAATGGAATTTTTGAATTGATAGATGAAATGATTAAATGTGCACCAGAAATTATATGGAGAAAAGATAAAAAAGGAAGAACAATTTTTTCGAACACATTTATATCGCATCAAGAGAAGATCTTTGGCCTTATATTTACTTTAGGAAAAGAGAAGTGTTTAATGGGAATGAGGTATGATATTTTTGGCAACAATTATTTACATCTTGCTGCAAAATTATCTCTTCCTTCTCGACTTGATATTGTAACTGGAGCAGCACTACAAATGCAAAGGGAACTGCAATGGTTTAAGGTAATGTATTTTGCTCGGGTACGTGATTTTGTGTGTGTGTGCGAATGCATGTGTATGTGTACCGTTATGATTGTTATTCGAGCCATTGCATCTGTAAACTTAAGCTGATGAAAGATATCATACATTTATTTATTTGAATTTATATTAAATGTGTTCCCTCTCTATAACACCTGCACAGTTCTCATAAATAGGTGACAATTTTCAAAGACGTAATTCACATAAATAAATTTGTCTTTTTTCTGAAAGTTTAAACTTTAGATGAGATGATTCAATATGATATTATTGTGAAAATAATTAAAGACATAATTCAAATCTTGTCACCATCTATTTATGAAAATTTGTGCACTTGATTTCGTCCCTAAAATTCATAATATTTTGTTTACTCGAATGCAGCAGATTCATCTAACTTATCTAAAATTGAATCATCATTCTATGTTATTTCTTCCAATATGCAGGAAGTTGGGAGCACGGTACAACGTAAACTCAAAGAGGAACTAAACAGCCACAACAAAACACCGAAAATTTTATTCACTGATGAACACGAGAAGTTAGCCAAAAAAGCAGAGGACTGGATGAAAAGGACAGCAGGGTCAAGCATGATAGTGGCAACTCTAATTGCTACTATAATGTTCAGAACAGCTTTCACAGTACCACGTGGTAATAAAAATGACACAGGAATGCCAACAATACTGGAAACTCAAAGGATTCCATTCTTGATTTTCATGATTTTGAATGCCCTGTCGATGTTCAGTTCGAGTACATCACTGTTGATTTTCTTAGGAATTTTTACGGCGCGTTATGCAGAAGATGATTTTCTCAAGTCCTTACCGACAAAATTAATATCAGGACTGACGAATTTGTTCCTTTCGATTGTTACCATGATGGCATCCTTTGGTACTGGATTGTATTTGATTCTTCATGAAAATTGGTCTTGGGTCACCGTTCTTATCATCGTCCTTACAATGATTCCAATAGTTCTTTTCTCTATCTTCCAGTTTCCTCTCTTGATTGAGATGACCCAACGGACTTATGGAGCCGGGATACTTGATGAATATAAGAAGAAGTCCTGTTTTGCTAAGTTCAGAGCATGTTTAATAAGGAGGAATCCATTGAGGAAAAAAAGACATTAAAAATTTTATAGGTCTTACTATAGAGTACTATTGAATAAGGTGTCCCAAATGTATTGTTAGCTCATTTTGGTTTCTGTCATTTTAAGTAATGATGTATCCATGGTGTTTTTTCTTATGAATAATTCATGTATTGGATCTAATTGAGCGTCTCGTAGAATTCCGTTGTTTGAAGAGTCATCTTGAATTCATAGTATGTACAAATAGAACCACATGTAGCAATATATTGTAATGCAAATACGAAGTGAATTTCAGATTATATAGCTCCAAAATTATCTTGCCTTCAAACTGGTATTGAAGCCTTGAAAAAGAAAAAAAGAATGTCCAACAATCTTGTTTCTCTTGTGCCTCATTTTAATGGAAAAAAATTTGATTAATATTTCATTAATCAATCATCCATAAATTTATTCATCCACAAATAAATCCAATCATTCAAATAAACGCATAAAACAACCCTAGGAGTTGTTCAACTATAAAATCATGCAATAAATCAAGAATTAGAATTACAACACACGATTCTGGACCAACACTCTAATACAACTTTTTGGAAACTGGTCCATTAGGATTAGGAAAAATTAAAAAAAAAATTCAAAATAAGTTTAATGGACGTGATCTTACTAGATTACTGTGTGTTGCATTTTTAATTAATTGCCACACAAGTGTTTAGATGTTATACCTATTCCGAGCAATTAATTTCTTTATCTTCTATCTTGAGGTTGATTGATTTGCAAACTTTCAAACTAGATCCCATCCAATAATTACTCCTTCCTAGATCTACAAACTTCTAACACTTAGATCTTATATCTGATCTTCTCCACAACCTGGTTGCACTTGATTTATGGCACCAATTATTGAATTCCTAATCCTTAAGAACTCATAAAAAAATATTATGATATCAAGAACTCTCTCAAGTAATGGAAGTTGCATTGAATATGTACGTTCTTTCACAGTCCATTAGATTTTTATATATAGAACTAAATAGCCTTGTTCATGGTTCCAACATGATTGGGATTCAAATTATAAAGGAACCAAGTTATACACACAATAAAATCCCTTTTAGGACTTGTACAATCCCGAATTTTTACTCGTCAAGATCATCTTTGCTTTTGATCAATGGCTGACTTTAGCAAAGTTTGACCTAATCAACTATGCAACATGTCAAATATCAATTATTACCATAATTAAATCAAAATTTTATTTGAAGCCATCAAAGGCACCTAATTGGACCTATATAATTCAAGCTTCAGATAGTTTGGGCCCAATAACTCGGAAGAAAGATCAGAAATAGAGAAAAATTGCGAAATTCCAAGTTCGTGGACTACCGTGCAAATACTCAAAACATCTTACTGGCTTCAAATTGCTAATTAGAGATTGCTAAGATCAATTGGATGCAATAAGAAGTCAAAATGTATGAAATATAATCAAAGGATCTTTACAAATTAATTTTCAACCGCAAAAGGCATATTCTAGATTTTCAAGCGTCTGGTGGGGGTGTGATAAGTAACAACTCAGGTGATGTGTTCTGGGATTTCAAAAATTTTATGGGGTTTGCTCTATTTTGGAAGCTGAGAGAAAAGCTCTTGCCACAGGCCTTAAAATCCGTTATCAACAGGGATACTCTAGAACTTAGGCAGAGGTGGATTCGAAGATTGCTTACATATTAATCCAAGAAATAGAAAAATGTATGTAAAAGTTACTCGTATATGGAGGGAAGACAGAGTGTTTTTTACTAGATTGCGGGCCTTTAGATAAGGCTTTTTGATGTGATCCAAGAGCCGAACCCAACGAAGGCAAGCTCAGGACGAGACCCGTTGATTATCGAAGGTGGACTGATGACGCATTTGAAGGCAAAGTGGGTATATCAAGCGATGGGGCTATTGGTTCAATCAACAATTGATGAGGCAATGATCATGGCACAAAATAGAACAAGTTCCATGTTAGGATCGAAGGTCGAAACCATTTGGATGAATTCGATACAAGCGGCCGAAAGTTCTTAATTCTCCTAAAGTTGTGACGAGATGCTAGTTAGCTACTTTCAACCATTGTATCTTGGGAGACATCTGTCTTCAGTCCTCTTGCACCATAGGCCTCGGTTCCTTTCAATATTGCTACTACCTTAACAACCATTTCCTATAATTTTATTGTTACTCTATTTATTGTAATGTTTCATCCTATTATTTTATTTATACAATTCGAACAGTATGTCTGATTTTCTTTCTGTATTTTTCCTAACAGACATTGATTACAATGGCAAATCATATGTAAAGATCAAGTACAATATGATATATGGCCTCTGGTGATATTTATAATATGTATTTGTTAGTTTTATTTGTCCTTATCATTGTATACTTTGACATTGTAAAAAAGATAGGTTGTTTAGAGTACTTTATCGTTCCATTACTCCCCTAAAGATGTAATAGTGGAAGTGAGGTAAGATGAAGTTTCCCTCCTTGTGTACACTTCTATTAGAGGCTGGGGAATCAAACCCCATGAAGGTTTAGACTGATAACCTAGCTGGAATAGCCTACCTAAATATTGATAAGTTTAGAAAACTCTTAATACATAATGTTTTATTTAAACACATCCTGTCTAAACCTTACAACCTTAAACCTAATAAAAGAAAGCAAAGGCAACATAAGATGTTAAAAGGGTATCCACGCCAAAAACAAGAAGATGATCTTTTTGGAAGGGAATTTGATCAAATGCAAATTGATCATCGTTGGACCCCCCCCCCCAACTAGATTCTTTGCAAGATTTCACTAAGGATAGTGTAGTCCCACACAGATAGATTATAATAACAATGAATTTTGGAGAAGAACTCATTTTGTTCTAAGGACACATGGAGTTTTTTATTATTGACAGGAAATCTGGTTAAAATGGATCCTTGGAAAGACCTGATTTGAAACAAACAAAGGCGATAACATCAATTCACCATTTGTGCATCATGTTGACCTCGAAAATGAGATTAATAAATTCCTCTCACTTAGCTAGAATTTTCTCCTCCTAAACTCACTGGATTTATGATAAGCATGAACAAGAAGACGAAATGCTATTTGAAAGGAGGATATTTTGATATTGCATTCATTTCTTTGTCCCAAATATGTCTATTTATAGATTTTTAATGAGGTTTAAGAGTAATCAAGTCCTTTTTGCTAATGACACATGGCAGTTATTGATTAGTTGACTTCTAACTGAATTTTCGCTTTTCACATTTTATTCTCGAGTCCACATGTTCCTCATCAATTGGCTATGAAATCACACTTTATATTCTTAGTCATTTTTGCTTTGATAATAATTTGTGCTGATGTAGAATAGCTGGTAAAACTAGTTAAAAGTATATTTGCTTGCTTATGTTATATTGAGTTTGCACGTGATTTGGTTGGCCTTGAAAATATTCACTGGCAGAGATATAGGTTCTTTGCTAATCCTTTGTAATTTTAATTGACAACAAATGTCCTCAATGTCAGAGTCTTAAAGTTTGTGTTAAGTTTAAGACTATTTACTTTCTATGTTATGCGAACATACAAATAATTTGATTATTTTTTAATTTATTTTGGCGTTATGAGCTGTAACGCCCCGACCCCTAATGGACCGGAACACTACTTACTTTACTTAGTTTAACCGGTGGTTTAGTAACAAGCGTATACGTTTTAGCGGAAGCTTATATCTTCGGATAATAATTTAAATAACAATGCTTCAAATACTTTAAAGAAGAACACCGAATCATTTTTCAAAACAACAAAATGTAATTTATTTAAAGAAAACATAATTTCTTCTCGCATTTTGCGTTACTCAAAACTTAAAAGAAATAACATTGGAAAACATTTCATAAAAATAAATCCAAATCACTTATTCAACGGATTTCCATGGGCTCGTTGCATCGCTCTCCATCTTCTCCTCCATCCATGCCCGAGGTAGAATTCTTCAATCTATAGAGATGGGATTAAACCCGTGAGTTGAAAAACTCAATAGGTGTCATAGGTGCATTCGTGATCAAGCAATACATTTCAAAACATTAACTTTATAACTTTTCATACATGCCGTACCCGGAGGCACCATTTGACATGAAGGGGTATGCCGTACCCGAGGGCACCATTTGACATACGAACATTTCTTCAACATAGAGGGGTATGCCGTACCGGAGTACCATTTGACATACAACCATTAACATAGAGGGATATGCCGTACCGGAATACCATTTGACATACAAATATTAATATGAATCGAAACTTATAACTTAACACGATTAAACACATTGCACCTCTACCTACCTTGATTGATGCTTTTGAAACTTTGAAAACTTGGATTGAAAACTTCGATGAAAGTTGGACGTTGAAAGAAATGTACTCCTTGGATGTTTGAAAACCGTTGAGAATTGATGCTTGAAAATACTTCTTAAACTTCTAGGAAAAATAATTTTCCTCCCTCTCTTTTTCTCTCTTGAAAACTCTTTATTTAGTATGTAAAAGCGCTTGCTTTTGGTGTGTGAAAAAAATGAGTGAAATGAGGTCTCTATTTATAGGTAAATATCCCATAACTTAAAGCAAATGAAGCGTCAAATTTCATTTAAGAGAGAAAACATCGGTACCATTTAAGTTTGAGGTTAAATCTTCAATTTAGTGGGGTTTTTATTGTCAAAAACGTAGGTGGCCCTTTGAGAAAATAATTGATGAAAATAAATATTTAAATTCTAGAGAAAAACGAGAATTTTCATTTCAAGCAGTTTCGGTCGACCGGTTGTAGTTCGGTTGACACTACACAGCTTTCAATGTTTCTATCATAACTTCTTCTCCCGATATCCGATTGAGGTAATTCAAAGTGCGTTGGAAAGCTAACTTAAAGAGATACAACTTTTATTTAGATATCATTTTTCAAATCAAATGTTTCCTATGTCAAAAATGGGTCTCAAATGAGACTAAAAATCTGAAGTATACTTTAGTCATCCAATATTTATGTCTTAGTGCCACTAAGGTGTCTAGAATTATTTAGGGTTCTACATCCCC